TTTTTTTGATAAATAAATAGAGATATTGTCAGGTCTCTACATTTTCTTTCACTGCATTTTTTTCGTTGTATTATTTCATATTTCCGCAAAGTTCTGCTCTAATTGTTGTCATTTGAGTGCTTCCCCAAGTTCCTTCTTGCTCTCTTTCTCTTACTCTCTTTCTATTGCTCTTTCTCTCTCTCTCCTCTCTCCTCTATCCCTTCTCCTCTCTTCTCTCTCCTCTCTTTCTTCAGTCTCTCTTGCTCTCTCGTTCGCTCTCCCTCTCTCTTCTTTCTCTGTCTATCTCTCGTCTCCTGCGTACTTGTTAATTCGATATCTACGGTGCTTGGCCTCCATGTGTTGTTCGTGCGTCGCCCTGTGCGTTTGCAGCTGCCTTAATCTGGAATACTTGAGTCTCCTTGAGCAGCAGAAACCCCTGCGCGATAACGCAGGCGGCGCGGGATGGGCGTTGAGGAATGGAGCGGAGAGATGCGGAGAGGCGGCGAGGGGCGAAAGGGGAGGAGGAGCGGGGCCCGATGGAGTGAGACGGCAAAATCCCAGGTCGGGCAAACACGGCGGGATACGAGGGGTCGGGGACGGGCGGGGCGGAATACGACGTGGCGGGGAGTAGTCTGGCTGTGAAGAGTAGCAGGGATACGAACGGGTGAGGGCGAGCGGGGCAGGAAGCGAGGGGGAATCGACGAGAGGGCGGGAAGTGGGGCGGGATACGAAGGGGCGCCCCGGGCAGGGCGGGAAACAAAGTGGCGGGGACGAGCGGTAGGGGAGTGGATGGAGAGAAGAGAGAGAGAGGGAGAGATATATCAGCGACGAGCGGAGCTAGAGAAGAAGAAGACCGGGACGAGGAAGAGTTGGGAGGATTTGGAGGGGGCCGCTAAGAATTGGGGTTAGGGGACAGCAGACTTTATCCTTCAAGACAAGTGTCTGAATGGGAACTGTTTTACCGCTCGCTGTGGAAGAGAAGCGGAGTAGAGAGGGTAGCGTAGTTTTGCGCTTCCACAGGGTCGAAAAGGCGACCAGTTTTCTGATTTTCCTGCTGGAACTATAGCGTTTACGTCCAAGAGCAAATCAAGCGAAAAAATAAAACGATATCTGTATATAGTATCATAAATATCCTAGAAAATGAAGTACATCATTAAAAACGATCGCAGAGGTAACTCGATCTGGGACAAAAATCTAACTATATCATCTTGCTCCGGACAAAACCCTAATGTCTTTTTTAAGTGACTCTAGGTAAAATTTCAAAAACTAAAATTACTTTTGTTTTGGATCATAAACTCTTTTTCGAAGTAACTTATGATTCAAAGTTTGTACATTCGTGGGGTATCGTATTGGGAAATAAAACTAGAAATGGTCAGAAAAATTAAATTGTAAAAAAAGCTTTACTGTCTTTTTTCTGTGATGAAATGAACTGAACTGTTACATATTCATTTCATTAAATAAAAATTATTGTAATATAAGTGTCGACCCCTTTTTAGAGAAAGAGATATTTCGTGTATTTCTAGTAACTGAAATGCCCCACCTGACATCGCGACCCAAAGTAAAAATTGATTTGAAAATTGAAGTGATATTTTTTGTTAATTAGGTGGTGACGACATTTTGAAATTTGCTTACAATTCCCCAGTCAGTTCCCCAAACGCAGGTTTTTCGTCCGGCTGTGGACAGTGCTGCAAGCTTTCTGGGCGACGTAAATCGCCATCGATGTGTTGACTCTCAGTGGAACACTGCCGTCGACCATTGCGGCAACTCGGTCTACTTTCTGCCAATTGGTTAACAATCAGACTACTATTTGAAACAGTTTCTAGTCAATATTGATCGCAAGCAAATCAGTCTGTGTATAGAACCTGAAAATTGGCGTTTGTGAACGTTCTCTCTCGTAATAGATTACTTTGAATACAGGACAAACTTCTAGTTCGTGTATAAATAAAATTTTTGTTTCCGTAGATAATATATGCTGTGTACCAAATGAAACACAGGATGCGAAGTCCAATTACAACAATTTTATTTCCAAAAGCCAATAAACCTGTTTCGTTGCAGTGGATCGCAATATCCAGTAGATGCTTCGGTAGAGATGGCTCAGTACATCAACTGATGCCACTGCAGTGCCTCTGATTGGGAGGGAGGTCATGGAATTTGTGACTCACCTAATCCTTTAGTGGTTTATACTTCTGTACAAAATGTATTTAATAAAATGTAATTTTCGCATCATGTAGATTCCTGGTGAGGAATCATTTTGTGGCTCTTTTTTTAACGAGACTAGACCCCGACTGTGACAGGATTTTCAACATTAGCTAGATAACTAGATAAATAGGTCGAATTCAGTTGCTGTCTGGAGACTTCTAGCGGTTGGCTCCTCTGATTGGTAGCTTTTTTTACCGATCATCACCGGGCGAATATCGCAGCAGTTCCGTAACAAATGAACCACGCGCGATCATTACTTCCTCTTCCTTGTATCTCACTCCTTACTTACACACACACACATACAATCACGTGCACTATACTCGTACTCCACACGTACCGGACTACCGGTCGGGAACTTAGACCATGTCCCGTTTGTCGTGGTGCTCTGCTTGTGGGAGATAGCTAGTTGGGGAAAATTCCAGTAGGTGGACGTAGGACGTTGGAGGAAGATCACCGCTACATCCAGCGATAAAAACATGCACCTCGCTTACGGAACAAATTACCTTAGCAGTTGACGTCACCGAGTCACTAATTAATTAATCAATCAACCCAGTGGGTGATTAACTTGTCGAAGTCGTAATTGAAAAATTTCCCTGAGCCAGAAAGAATAACCACTCTGAGAAGCCTGTTATTATGCAATATGATATTATACAATATAAAGTTAACTTTTTCTGACTGATTGAGTACTGAAATTCAAGAGAGTGCTTAAAAGATAGCTCCCGATGAGAGGGCCAGTGGCTGGTTACTTCTTGCGGATCTCGGGCGGAGGGAGGGACTATTAGTTGTGTGGTCGCTCGTACGTAGCGCTCGTACGGGCGAAGCTGCTGCGTTCTGGCGGTCGTCCGGGCAACTACGTAGCCCGCGGCGCTGTCCCGCCGACGTCTACTTCAAATATTTGGGCTTGGCGGATACCACAATTCATTCATTCGTAATTACAGTTTAGTTGACCGCGATATAGGTATTCACCGTAACTTCATTGTCAAGCTGTAGTATAAGAAGCATTAAAAAAGAAACGAACCGGAAGCCTTGGAGCGAAAAACAGGCACTCTTATGTCAGAAGTTTTGACCCTCGCTGTTAAGGAACTTCTCCCACTGCCTCAATAGCTACCTCGTAAATTTTTGGGACTTCGCGTTGAACAGATTCCTCACGTACGTCTCGACGTCATCGTCCTAGGTGAATCGTTATCCACTCACATTCTTTTTTAGGGAACCGAATATAGCAAATCGCAGGGAGAGAGGCCTGGTCTATTTGGAGGGCACCGAGAAACCTCCCACTTAAATTTCTGCGAGTGTCGTAAATGCCTTGGCCGTATGAGCCCTTGCAGTGTCGTGAAGCATTATAACCCCACGGGTGAGCTTGCCTGGCTGTTTCGATTTGATCGCTTCGCGAGAGGAGGTCAAGGTTTGCAAGCCCTTCCCCAATCCTTCGCCTTGATTATTAAAATATATTTTCTTCAGCTCCGTCTCTCTCTCTCCCTCTCTCTCTCTCCGTCTCTCTCTCCGTCTCTCCGTCTCTCGCTCCGTCTCTCTCGCTCCGTCTCTCTCGCTCCGTCTCTCTCTCTCCGTCTCTCTCTCTCCGCGGCGCGGGCCGGCGGGCGGCGGGGCTGTGGCGAGGCTGTGGGGGCGCGTGGGCGCGGGGGCGGTGGGGCGGTCGCGGGTGGGTGGGGGCGGCGGGCGGTGCGGGGGGCGGTTTGGGGGCCGCCGGTTGCGGCAGGGGCGGCTGGGCGCGGTGGAAGCGGCGATATCGGCGGAAGCGGAAGCGGGGGCGGCGCGGCGACGGTGGCGGTGGCGGTGTGGTGCGGTGGCCGGTGCGGTGGCGGTGGCGGTGGCGGTGACGGTGGGGGTGACCGGAAAACTGTGACGGTGATGGCGCGTGGCGGTTCCGGGTTGACCCGGTGACGGGTGCGGTGGGCGGGGGGGATGGCGGTGGCCGGTGGCGGTTGGCCTGGTGGCTGGTGACGCTTGACGGTGATGGGCGCGTCGGCCGGCGGTGGCGGTGCGTGGCCGGCGGTGGCAGTGCGGTGCGAGGATGGCGGTGGCGGCAGGTGCCGCTGCGCTGCAGGGTTTAGGGCGTCCCTGACAGTTGTCGCGGCGCTCCACCTTACGTGCTACCGCCGCCGGCCGCCCGTTCGCCCGCGTTTGCGACGCGCAGCCGAAGCCCCGGGTGCCCAGCGACCTCCGGAACCCGGCAGCGGGGCTTTTCGTTATTTAGAACGGAGCGCGTTTGGAAGCGATCTGCGCGGGTATTAAGATCCACTTTTCAAAGAAGATGCATGGCCCGTTTTTGTTAAGAAACTCACGACAGGTTAGTGGTCCAAACCTATAGCAGCAACCAAGGCGTTGTTGGAAACGGGGAAGGGAAAATTTTGGGGGGCTTTTTTTTTCATTTCGGGGACACCTGGCCGTTTTTGAATTTATTTCGTGGTAAACCCCTGTCCAGATTATTGAGCCGTTAAAGCGGACCGCAGAAATTTAGGTACAATAACTTCTAAGAATACAATTGCCCACAACAGATTTACCATTCCCTTTACAATGAATTTCTTTATCTTATTTCGATGATCATGAAGACCAACGATACGCATATTTGAGGCGAAAACGGAAGCAAGTTCTTGTAGGAGAAATTTACGAGCAATGGAGATGATAGTGGCTAAATAAGAGCCCTTGCTGGCGCTGATTAATGACACCATTCTTCTTCAGTAGCTGAAAACCGCCCAAAAATAGTTTAAAATATATGTGTTTAAGCAAGTGTAAAAATAAAATTGGCGAAAGGACAAAAATGCACCTCTCAAAAATTCAAACATTGCGAGATATAAGGAATAGGTATGTGGTATGGGTGGGACTTGCGGACGGGCGGTCAGGACGGGCGGTCAGGGACGGGCGGTCAGGACGGCGGGCAGGACGGGCCCCCCGGTCAGGACGGGCGGGCAGGACGGTCCGGTCAGGACGGTCGGTCAGGACGGGCGGTCAGGACGCGGCGGTCAGGGCGGCGGCCGGTCCAGGGACGGGCGGGTCAGGACGGGCGGTCAGGAACGGGGGCGGCAGGACGGGCGGTCAGGACGGGCGGTCAGGACGGGCGGTCAAGGACGGGCCGGTCAGGACGGGCGGTCAGGACGGCGGTCAGGACGGGCGGTTCAGGACGGGCGGCAGAAGGCCCACATGCGGGTATGTAAAAACAGAAAGCGGCTGTGTCGGCAGATAGGGCAGTAAACAGAGCGCAGAATGTGCGTGGGAGGTCGACCTGCTTGCGCGTGAAACGTTGCCCCGGTGCAACGCAGGCCGGCCTTGCCGCGGGCCCCGCCAAACAGCAGCTCGAAGCCACAGCTCGGGCAGCAGCCGCCGCCGGGCCGGCGGTGGCCAGCGCGCCTCGGGAAGTTCCACGGCGGCGGCCACGGCAGAGCGGGTTACGGGTCTCCCACGCGCTCGGGCGGAACAGGGCCTCAGGCGTACGGCGCGCGGGCCAACCGCCCACCGACAACCTCCACCCGCCCTTCTTTCCCTCCTCGGGCCCCCTGGCCAAAAACCCACCAACCCCCCCACCCCACCAAAACCCCCCCCCCCCCAACCCACAATAACATTTGCATTTTAAAAAAAAAAAAAAAAAAACCGGGGGGGGAAAAAAAAACCCCCCCAAAAAAATGGGTTGGGGGTTTTTGGGGGTTTTTGGAATTTCGTGCCTTTAAATTGCATTTGCATTACTGTTTCATTCCCGATTTTCCCGATTAAAAACTTTGTCAAAGTATTGCTTGCCCCGCTTCCCGGAAGAATATAGAATAATAGAATATCTCTCTGTGG